CACCACACAAGAAGCCATCAAAAGAGTGAAGAGATAACTCATAAAATTGGAAAAAAATTTTACCTGCTACTCCTGAAAGGACTAGCATCTAGAATATATAAAGAACTCAATAAGTCAGTCCCCCCAAATTTAAAGGCTCAATCAAAAAATGGGCATTTGAAATCAATAGATATTTCTCAAATGAAGTACAAATATCAAATAAATATATTAAAAAATATTCAACATCACATTATTTCTTTCTTGACCCATTGCTGCATCACTGGAAAAGATTTCCTAATATTTAACTATATTTGCAATCCTGAGCTAAAACCTGTCCAGTGGCAGAGTATTCTATTAAGGAAATTCAATTTATTCTTTATTTTATATGCTTACATCTTTGTATATAAGTGATGTTATTCTCTAGTTTCCTTTTTTGGCATATGAGCTGTTTTTGTCTTGTGTCAGGTACTGCCATCAATGAAAACATTTGACATAACCTATCTTTGTGGCCTTCTCTGAGGTAGATACAGTGGTTCCATTTGCACTGAATGAGACCTTGTACATAATTAGAAATGTATAAATACTTCACATCTCATACAAAAGTGAATTCAAAACAGAGCATGAGATCAAAATAGAACATACCACTAGAAAATTTTTAAAGAAAGTGAAACATAGGAGTCTAGACCCAGAACTCTGTGAGCTTGAGGCAGGAAGATCATAAATTTATGCCTAGTCTGGGCAATTTAGTGACTTAACGACTTCCTGTTTCAATATAGAAAAGAGCTTGGGATGTAGCTCAGAGCAAAGGCCCTAGGTTCAATTCCCAGTGCTGCAAAGAGAGAGAGAGAGAGAGAGAGAGAGAGAGAGAAAATCTTGAAGACCTAGGGCTTGGTGAAGAGTTTATATAGCTATAACACCAAAAGTAAGATCCATGAAGTAGGCTGAAAAAATGACCCTCCCAAAGATGGCCATGCCCTGATCCCCCACATTTGTGAATTAGCATCCTCCCTAATGGGACTTTTCACATGTAATTAAGTTAAGGATTTTGAGATGGAAAGATTATCCTGGATCTAGTAGGTTGGCTCAACGTAATCACAAATGGTCCTCTAAAAGGAAGAGAGCAAGGTCAAGGTCAGAGGAGGGGATATGAGGACAAAAACAGAGCTGGATGAAAGCCATGAGCTGAGTAATGTGAACAGCCACTAGAAATAGGAACAGACAAGGGAATGGATTATCTCCTAGAGCCTCCCAAGGGAAGAAACCTTGCCAATGCCTTCATTTGAGTACAATGAGACCCTTTTCCAGGCTTCTGACCTCCAAAAGGCTTCTGACCAATTGTCTTAACATGAGTTGTTTTAAGTCACTGAGTTTCTGGTATTTGTTACAGTTTCAATAGTAAACTCCTACAGTTCATTAGAGAAAAAAATCATACTTGGACTTCATCAAACCTGAAAAATGATTATCTTTCCAAAAGGCCCTGTTAACAGATTGAAAAGACAAGTCACGGACCAGAAGGAAAGACCTACAAACTGTATGTCCAAACAAAAGACTAATATCTACAAAAAAACACTCTGGAGAACAGTTTGACAGTTTCTTACATAACCTAAACGTGCAATTATCACATAGCTCAGCAACTGATTTCCTAAGCATTTATTACAGAGAAATGAAAACTTACATTCAGTCAAAAACCTCCAGATGTTTTTAGCAGCTTTAGTTGTAGAAGCCGAAAACTGGAAACAACCCAGCATCTTTCTAAACAAACTCATACATACAGAGCACAGAATATCACTACTCTGCCAATAAGAAGGAATGATACATGGATACATGACAGATTTACATGACAACTTAGGTCTTTTTTGACAGAGATTTGTGTTTTCCCTAATTTTTTCTTTTCAAGTGTAATTTATTTTAATATAGTTTAAAATTTTTATTACTGTCTATTGGTTATACAGACTAGTGGGTTTCATCTTGGTGTATTCATATATGCAGGTGAAATACTTTGGTCATTTCTTCTCCATTATCTCTTCTCTCTTCCCCAATCCCCCTTCTGTTCTCTGTCTCCTACTTTCATTTCCTCTCTCTCTCTCTCTTCTTCTCTCCCAGATTCCTCATATGAGAGGAAACGTGATATTTGACTTTCTGAGTCTGGTTTACTTAATATGATGATCTTGTTTCATCCATTTTCTTACAAATGATATGACTTCATTCTTCTCTATGGCTCAATAATATTCCATTGGGTATATCTAGCACATTTTCAATATCCATTAATATGTGGATGGGCACTGAGCTGTTTCTATAGCTTAGCTATTGTGAATCACACTGTAATAAACATGAATATTCTGGTATCTCTATAGTATGCTGACTCTAATTCTTTCAGGAATATACGGAGGAGAGATACAGCTGGATCAAATAGTAGCTCTAGTTTTAATTTTCTGAAGAAATGCAGTACTGATTTCCGTAATGGTTGCACTAATTTAAAACCCTAACAGTGTAGAAGTGTTCCTTTCCCTCTTGCCAGCATTTGCTGCTTTTTATATTCTTGATGATGGTCATTCTGACTAGGGTGAGATGGCATCTCAATATACTTTTGATTTGCTTTTCCCTGATGGCTAAAGATGCTGAATATTTTTTTATGTACTTATTGACCATTTGTACTTCTTGTGGGAAGTGTCTGGACAATTTGGTGCTTAAGGACATTATGTTCAGTGAAAAAAAAAAAACAATCTCAAAAGATCACACATTGCATAATTCCATTCATGTAGTATCCTTGGAATGACAAAGCTGTAAAGTTGGACAGCAGATCACTGACGCCAGCAGACAAGGATGAAGGTGAAGGTGTGCATGGTTATGTAAGGGCGATATGAAGAAGTTTGTTTCTCTGTGATGATAAAACACATCATGATAAACAATTCTACATCATGATGGACATGAGGGTTACATGAATCTATATGTGGAACCAAGGTGTACACACACATGTGCACGTGCACACACACAAATGAGCATATAAAACAGCAAAAATTGAATGCGGGCTATAGCCTAGCAATATTGTACCAGTGTCAATTTCTTGTTTTGATATCCTACTATACTTATATGAGATGTCACCATTGTGGAAGCTGGATAAACCATTTAAGGGACTCTACTTTTGCAAATTCTTTTAAATCAACAAATCATTTTTAAAAAAACAATTTAAAATAATAGTTGTGATTTTTACAAATTTAATATAGCTAGTGCTTTCCCCCATTTAATTAAGACTAATTTTTCTTTTTCTTGTCTTTTTTTTTTTGGTATTGGGATTTGAACCCACAGCTTCTGCATTGAGCTACATCACCAACCATATTTTCATTTTTTAATTTCAAGATAAAGTCTCATTAAATTGCCTAAAGTGGGCTTGAACTTTCAATCCCCTTGGCCCAGTCTCTCAGAGATTACAGGTGTGTGCCACCAGGCCTGCCTTAATTTTTCTTAAATGTTACTTTTTCATTGACATAGAATTCACATACCATAAAATTTAGTATTTTAAACTGCACTTTTTAATAGCATATTTTGTACTTTTTAATAGCACATTTTGTACTTTTTAATAGCATATTTATAAAGTTGTACAACCATAACCACTGCCTAATTCCAGAACATTTTTATCATTCCACAAAGAAACTCTATACTCATTAGCAGCCACTATCTCTTCACTTTTTATCCTTCTTCCTGTCTCTTTCTTTTGATACACCTATTTTAGATATTCCACAGAATTCACTTGAACCAGGGCCTTTGCACTAAGCTATATGCCTATTTTTTTTTATTTCAAGATAAGGTCTCACTAAATTGCCTAGGCTGGGCTTGAACTTTCAATCCTCCTGCCTCAGCCTTCCAGAGACTACAGGTGTAATCAAACAAGATTGGAAACAAACAATATACAGTACAGCCTTTTGTTTCTGGTTTCTTTTACTTACTGTAGTATTTTCAAGGGTCATGTATATTATAGCATGTATATGTGCTTCATTTCTTTGTAATGGCTGAATAATATTCCAACATATAGATATTTCAAATTTTATTTGTCCACATGGTAGTTGATGGATGTGTGGGTTATTTCCACATTTTTGTTATTAAAAATAACTCCCTTATGGCCATCTGTGTAGAAGTTTTTGCATAACAATGTGTTTTAAATTATTCAGGTATATACCTGAGAATGAAATTGCTGGGTGATATGGTAATTCTATGTTTAACTAACTTTCTTTCTTTCTTTCTTTCTTTCTTTCTTTCTTTCTTTCTTTCTTTCTTTCTTTCTTTCTTTCTTTCCTTCCTTCCTTCCTTCCT